GGATACTGATGTTTGCACACACACACACACACCAAAAAACAACGCGAGGCAGTTGTTTAAGGCTGAGCCGATCTAGGAGAGACCCTGGACAAGCTCTGGCATCACGCGCCACTCGAAGGTTAAGCCCCTGGCCTTGGAATCGAACGCAGGCGGCCCGGGCTTCGTGACGCAAGTGCGCTAAGCGACGCGCCAATGCTCTCGTCTGTATTGTTTGTGTGTACAAGAATGAGATAATGAGATGACGCGATGGCGAGATGATGGACAAACATCGATTATCTCTCCGGGCGATTGTTCGCTCGCAATTAAGCGACATCAAACACGAGCGTCTATTTGTCCTCGGGGCGAGAGCGCCGCGCGTCGCGCGCGTTGTTTCGTTGTTTCATGTCAAAACAGAAATCACTCTCGCGTACACACAAACACTCAAATGACTCGCTCGCGACAAGACGTGCGAGTCGACGTTTGCACAAAACACCGGGGGCTCGTTTAAGTGCGTACTCGTTTCGGGCTGAGTTGACCTAGGGGAGGTGCTGTCCAAGCTATACGATAGCACTCGCCACTGACGCTCGCCCCGGTCAGGTTAAAGTCGGCTCATGGCGGTGGAGAGACCGACAGCTCGAATTCGACATTGAAGGCTGCGCGCTTGCGTTGGCAGTGCGAAAGTTCGCCTCCGTCTGCAAATGTGCGCGACTTGGTTGGCTCAAAGTGCACCTAGCGTGGCACAAGCGCCGCGGTGACGTCACCGCCACGCGATCGTTACGTTCGGGACGTCGTTGGCTCGTGCGGGCGGTGGCGAGTCCACCACGCGAGACGCGGGGGAGTCCACCACGCGAGACGCGGGGGAGTCCACCACGCGAGACACGGGGAGTCCACCACGCGAGTCGTGGCGAGTCCACCACGCGAGTCGCGGGGAGTCCACCACGCGAGACGCGGGGAGTCCACCACGCGAGTCGCGGGGACTCCCCATGCGAGTCGTGGGGAGTCCACCACGCGAGTCGCGGGGAGTCCACCACGCGAGACACAGGGAGTCCACCACGCGAGACACTGGGAGTCCACCACGCGAGTCGCGGGGAGTCCACCACGCGAGACGCGGGGAGTCCACCACGCGAGTCGTGGCGAGTCCACCACGCGAGTCGCGGGGAGTCCACCACGCGAGACGCGGGGAGTCCACCACGCGAGTCGCGGGGACTCCCCATGCGAGTCGTGGGGAGTCCACCACGCGAGTCGCGGGGAGTCCACCACGCGAGACACAGGGAGTCCACCACGCGAGACACAGGGAGTCCACCACGCGAGTCGCGGGGAGTCCACCACGCGAGACGCGGGGAGTCCACCACGCGAGTCGTCCTGCCAAGGGACCTCTCTCTAGTTCCGATCAACACCAACATCAACACCATCCACAACACCAACATCAACACCAACATCAACACTAACATCAACACCATCCACAACACCAACATCAACACCATCAACAACACCAACATCAACACTAACATCAACACCATCCACAACACCAATATCAACACCATCAACAACACCAACATCAACACTAACATCAACACCAACATCAACACCATCCACAACACTAACATCAACACCATCCACAACACCAACATCAACACCATCCACAACACCAACATCAACACCATCCACAACACCAACATCAACACCATCCACAACACCAACATCAACACCAACATCAACACCATCCACAACACCAACATCAACACCATCCACAACACCAAAATCAACACCATCCACAACACCAACATCAACACCAACATCAACACCAACACTAACATCAACATCAACACCAACATCAACATCAACACCATCAACAACACCAACATCAACACCAACATCAACACCATCCACACCACCAATATCAACACCATCCACAACACCAACATCAACATCAACACCAACATCAACACTAACAACACCATCAACACCATCCACAACACCAACATCAACACCAACATCAACACCAACATCAACACTAACATCAACACCATCCACAACACCAACATCAACACCATCCACAACACCAAAATCAACACCAACATCAACACCAACATCAACACTAACATCAACACCATCCACAACACCAACATTAACACCATCAACAACACCAACATCAACACCATCCACAACACCAACATCAACACCATCAACAACACCAACATCAACATCAACACCATCCACAACATCAACATCAACACCAACATCAACACCATCCAACACACCAACATCAACACCAACATCAACACCAACATCAACACCATCCACAACACCAACAACAACACCAACATCAACACTAACATCAACATCAACACCAACATCAACACCATCCACAACACCAACATCAACACCAACATCAACACCAACATCAACACCATCCACAACACCAACATCAACACCATCAACAACACCAACATCAACACCATCCACAACACCAACATCAACACCATCAACAACACCAACATCAACACCATCAACAACACCAACATCAACACTAACATCAACACCATCAACAACACCAACATCAACACTAACAACACCAACATCATCACCATCAACAACACCAACATCAACACCATCAACAACACCGAACGCCTGTAGAGCACGAACACGTCTGGATTAAAGGTGGCCAGTGCCACGCACGCTCGCATTTGTCTGCCCAGGATAGGATACTGATGTTTGCACACACACACACACCAAAAAACAACGCGAGGCAGTCGTTTAAGGCTGAGCCGATCTAGGAGAGACCCTGGACAAGCTCTGGTATCACGCGCCACGCGAAGGTTAAGCCCCTGGACTTGGAATCGAATGCAGGCCGCCCTTCTTCGTGACGCAAGTGCGCTCAGCGACGCGCCACCGCTCGCTAGTTCGATTCCTGCCAACACCCAGTGACAATTATCTGAACCGGTCCTGGGCCTCCCCTAGGTCGACTCAGCCTCAGATAAGTACCTGTTTTTGGTGTGTAAACATTGCCACTGGGGAGACAAAGGCGGCCGGGCGTGGTGTTTGCCCCCCCCCCATCCCCTCGTGTGCCGTGCCGGCCTTAAGGCTTTACAGTACTGGGGGATCTTTGTCTTTGTTGTTGTTGGTGTTGTTGTTGACGTCCAGCGGTTTCTTCCACGGAGCCACGAGTCGTTGTCTTACGACTTTTTCGACGCCATCTCCCCTTCCTATCCACTCTATAATCTCCTGCCGCGACTCCAACTCCTTTTAAAACCTCTCTCCTCCTCTCCTCTTTCTCGGGAAATTTGTATAACCCTTGGGGTGTCCCACCCAATCCACTGTCCCCCATTCTCCGCGCCTTCCCTGCCAGCGGCCCTTCTCGAAATATTTCTTCTCTGGGCACGGTCCCTTTGACCTTTTTGCGTGACCCCCTCCACCGCCCACCGCCCAACTCAGTGGTGACCGCGTCCCCACGTGACCTCCACACGTGCTTTTTGAGCGCTGCGCTGTTGAGGAACCCTGGCGGGCTGACTTTGACACCCAAATGGACACGTGCTCACACATGTGTCAATTGTCCACAGCGGGCGTAGTTAGTCACCCTTTGAGGGACGCGATGATCATTCGCCAGATACATCACCAGGCCTCGAATCCAGACAGTGCCGTGAGGCCCACAACAGGTCTACAAAAAGGTCGTGCCGGTTTTGGGATCCCTTCTGGAACCTGGCCTCGATGCCGCGAGTTACAAGGGGCGAAAACGCGGTCGCTGCAATTGCGTTTAGGCCGGAACCCCGCCGTGGATTACGATTGGACGAGACGGCTGATTGTCCGGAGGATGATAAGTTCCCAGAAGTATGTCCGTGCTTTGTAGGTCAAGTTGAGTGAGCGAGCGGTCGTGTTAGCGGTTAGCGCGCTGCACTACGAACCCAACGGCCCGAGTTCGATTCCCGCTCACGGCCAGTAACGCCAGTGGCGATTATCTGAACCGGTCCTGGGCCTCCCCTAGGTCGAATGAGTACCTGGTGCGGCAGACAAAAGCGGTCTGGCATGGTGCTGGCCAGCCACCCCGTTGTGTGCCGTTGTGGCCTTCATAGGTGCGCTCTCTAACAGCACTTGCCCCAACAGTCTATTCAGGCTATACAGGGAAGCCTTTGCCTTTGTATGCGAGTGAGTGTGTGTTGTGTTGGTGGTGCAGTGTGATTAGCGACCCGAGCTCGATTTGCGCCCACGGCCAATAACGGTGACGAATATTTGATCCGGTTCTGGGCCTCTGAGCACCTGGTGCATTAAACGTCAGAACCGGGGAGAGAAAGGCGGCCGGACGTGGTGCTGGCCACCCACCCACCCCTCCCGTCTGTCGCGTCGGTCATCGGGAGTGCTACTCGCTATAAAGAGACCGTGTCCTGAAAGTCTGTTAAGGCTATCCGGGGATGATCTTTGTCCTCTCGTCTTTATGGACGTGCGTGCATGCAGACCCGCACCGTATCCTATGTGTACCTGTGTGCGCGTGTGTCGTGCCGGTTGTAATATTTTCCATCGAGCAGCACTTGCCCCCGATAGTTTATGCAGGCTACACGGGGGTTGTTTATCTTTGGACGTGTGTACCCAGGATATATGCGGATACACGTGGACAGCCGGGTGGATAATCGGAGACGCACCCGCGCCTGAGCGCGCCCTCCGCCACACCTGCCCCCCACCCCCTCCAGATCTCACCCCCCCCCCCGAACATCCCCCCCCCCCCACCGACTGTCACCCGCCCTGTCTCTCTCCCTGCTCCATCCTCCTCCAGGTCCTCCGCCCCACCCCTCCCACCTCCATCATCCACGACCACTGCTCAACGGTGGTGGGGAGGAGGAGGGGGGGGGAGCTCTACCAGATAGAGTTGGGGGGGGCGGAGGGGGGGACGCAGGTGAAAGGGAGCTGATGTTGAGGTGCGCGGTTGACAGGGGGGGGGGGGGTTGGGGGGGGGAGGTGGGGGGGCAAGGGGGGGATAAAGTCTCTCGTCGCAGCTCTCCGTGGTTGAGGGCTGAAAGTGTCGCACCCGTTTCTTTATAGCCGGACCCGTGCGGGTTCTCCGATATAAATATCTGGGCGCCGCTAATAAGTAACAGGCAGCGGCGGCATCAGGAGATCGCCGGGTAGGTGTGTGGTGGTGGTTGGTTGGTGGTGCTGGTTGAAGGCGACGGGGATCATTTGATGATTGAATAGAGCTGGCGTCGAACGCGCGCTCGGCTCGCGGAACGGTGGTCACCGAGTGACCTCGATTTGTAATCTCGAGCGAATTCGCGGCTCCGTTCGCGTCGCGCGCAGGGTGACAGCGGCGAGGAGCCCATCCGTGAGGCTTCGAGAGCAGAAGATACGGTACGTGCGCAGTACACACGCACGCACGCACGCGTACGCACGCACGCGTACGCAACACAAAGACAAAGAGTCCTCCGTATAGCCTTCACCCGACTGTTGGGGCAAGTGCTGTGAGCGAGAAGAAACCTATTGAGACCGGGCGTGGGTGGCCGGCACCACGCCCGGCCGCCTTTGTCACCCCGGTGGCGATGTTTTTACACACCGCGCCAGGTACTCATTTGAGGCCGAGTCGACCTAGGCGAGTCTCAGGACCGGTTCAGATACATCGCCACTGGTGTTGGTCGTGAGCGGGAATTGAACTTGGGTCGCCGGGTTTGTAGCGCAGCGCTCTAACCGCTGTACTGCACGCACACACACGCTATTCACACACACACACGCTGTACACACACACACACGCTGTACACACACACCTACACGCTGTTCATACACACACACGCTGTACACACACACACGCGCGCGCAGTACAGAGATAACGATTCCCAGTATAGCCTTTAACAGATTTCTGGGAAAAGTGCTGTTAGCGAGCACCTACGAAGGACGGCACGGCTTCGTGCTCAATACACTCCTCAGCAGGTTCTCGTTTAAGGCTGAGTCGACCTAGGAGAGGCCATTTGAGGTATCGAAGGGTCGTTTATAGGTCACCTGACAGATCCATGTGCCTTGGGTTTACTGACTAAGATGACTGGCAGATGCACCAGATGTGCTCCCCACTGTGCCACCTCGCTGCGCTTTATGCGCCCTGCGATCCGCTCGTTGTTGTGAGCGTCGCTCCTCTGCCCTCCGTTGTTGTCAGAAGGGCGACTGCCTCCAACTGCCCAGCAGCGTCCATCACGAGCCTCCTCCTCCTCCACAGGGGCCGATCTTGACACCGCCGGTACCGGTCATCGCCAAGTCCGATCAGCTCCACATCCTCCAATACCGCATCAGCGCCATCCCTTCCCTAGTCCGTGCCGCGCCCGTTTAACCCCACTGGCCAAACAGAAGTCGCTCATCTACTCACCTACATCCTCCCCCACCACCACCATCACCCACATCCTCCCCCACCATCACCCACATCCTCCCCCACCACCATCACCACCACCATCATCACCACCCCTCCACAGTCGGGCACCATGGCCGCCCCGGAGCTACTCAATGTCCACTTCGGCCTCGTCACGGAGTCGGGCCGCTATCTGACGGCGGAGCCGTTCGGCTTCACGGTGAACGTGGCGGGCCAGAGCCTCAAGCGCAAGCAGGTGTGGGCCCTCCAGGAGGAGGCGGCGGCGACCTGCCCGGAGGCCGCGGCCGGCGGGCAGGCCGGAGCAGACGCGGCCACCACCCCTGTGCTGCTGAGGAGTCACCTGGGGCGGTTCCTGAGCGCCGACAAAAACGGGAGGGTATCGGCCGACTGCGACAAACCTGGGCCCGAGTGCAGGTGCGGGGACGCTCGTGCGCGTGATGTGGGAAGGTGTGGGGGGGGGGGGGGTGGCAGCGATGGGTGCAGGTGATGGGGGATGGGCACAGGTGATGGGGTGGGTGATGGGTGATTGGCACAGGTGATGGGGGTAGGTGATCGGTGATGGGCAGAGGTCATGCGGGATGAGTGATGGGCACAGGTGATGGAGTGAGTGATGGGGATAGCTGATGGGCGTGTGTGATGGAGATAGGTAATGGGGGTGGGCGATGATGGATGGGCACAGGTGATGGGGATGGGTTATGGGCACATCTGATGGAGTGGGTGTAGGGAATAGGTGATGGAGTGTGTGATGGGGATAGGTAATGGGGGTGGGTGATGGGTGATGGGCACAGGTGATGGGTTATGGGGATAGGTGATGGGGGTGGGTGATGGAGACAGGTGATGGGGGTGAGTGTGGGCGGTGTGGGTATGGTTCGTGGCTTCGGGCAGGGAGATGAGCCCAGGGCGATTGCGGCTGAGCTGTCACGGCATGTGACCGTCGTGATGATGGTGATGATGGTGGCGGTGGCGCTGTAGCTGATGACAATGGCTCACGATGACCCTCCGTGGTGTCCGTAACTCACGCGAGCCCTCGCCAGGACCCCCCTTGTGACACACTAAGATAGTACGCTCCGCCATACGATAACACAACCACGATAATCGTATGGCTCGTATCCCCTGCAAGCCAGAGCGCCGCGGTGACGAGATGTTAACTACCTCGCCTGGTATGCAGGAGGTCGTGGATTCGATTCCGACCTTGACGCCTGCTGCTGTATATTTGGAGTTTGGGTGTCCCTCTCTCCGTGGTCGCGTGGCATTTTTTCCCGGCTCTCCGGGGCTTTCCCTCCACATTTAAAATCAACAGCAACGCGCCTTTAGAGTGATGATGATCAGCCGCTTCTCGTGGAGCGAACATTTGCGATAGACAGGTCGCTTCTGAAAAAGAGCTGTACAGCTTAGTGGGGCCTTACCTGGTAATTTTTTTTATAGTGAACGCTCCCCCCCCAACTGCCTTATCTCTCTACCTTGCTCCCCACAATGTGTGCCGCCTCCCACACCCCGCCCCCCCCCCCACCCCAAGGTTCTTCGTGTTCCCCCAAGCCGACGGTCGATGGGCTCTGCAGTCGGAGCGCTACGGCCGCTACCTGGGACTCGGGTGCGCCTCGGTGGCGGGGGGCCTGGCCCCCCAGACCCCCAGCGACTCGGAGCCGCTGGAGTGCTGGGCTCAGACTCTGAGCTCCAACGAGCTGTGGGCTGTGCACCTGGCCATGCACCCACAGGTGAGCGGATGATGGCGTTCGTGGGGGGTTCAATTGTCGGAAATAAATTCCAGCGCTGGTGGCGGGCGGGCGGGTGGCTCGAATAGCATCGTTGGTGGTGATGGTGGTTGAAGGAGGAGGGGCAGGGGGAGGAGGTCATCATCATCATCATCAGCAGCAGCAGAAGATTCGTCAGGAAGCAACAGCAGCAGCAGCAACAGCAGCAGCAGCATAATTTTAATCAGTTATCGTCATTTGTCTACCAAGTATCAGTAGCCACATCATAATGATACTAATCACCACAATGATGATGATGATGATGATCATCATTATCAGTAGCAGCAGTATTGTGATCATCATCATCAGTAGCAGCATTATTGTGATCATCATCATCATCATCAGTCGCAGCATTATTGTGATCATCATCATCAGTAGCATCATTATTGTGATCATCATTATCAGTAGCAGCATTATTGTGATCATCATCATCAGTAGCAGCATTATTGTGATCATCATCATCATCAGTAGCAGCATTATTGTGATCATCATCATCATCAGACGATTCATCATTCGGACGGGTGGCTCAAGCGGAAGAGGGAGTGGCTCGCGATCCGAAGGTTACGAGTTCACATCCCGGTTTACACAGCCCATCTTCCCTCTGGGGTGGATACAACAAGTAACCCACCTTGGTGTTGGGGGTTGTGGGTGGGGAGGGTGAAAGTCAACAGTTGGTGTATGTGGATGCACCTGACCCCCGCCGTACGAATGTGGAATATCCACAAGTGGCTCAGGGCTGTTAAATATTAAGTGAGCATCGATGCCTTACAATGCTCATCTCATCATCGAGGGGGCATCCTCGCAAACAAGTAAACGTCGCTCTTCGTCTATCTAGCCATCGGATAAGAACGATCACCGCATCGCACGCTTTCAGATGCGCTTCTGCGACCGTCTGATATGAGGGAGGCCATGGAACCGTGCACTTTGAGATCATCGAGATTGACAAACGCATCTCATTGGAACTGCTTTTTATGTGTTTAGTTTGTCGTCCTTCACCCGCACCTCCGATTAGCACGGTCGGCTACGTACGGTGCGTAAGAAGTTCGACGTAACAAACACATGATGCTGGTGATGGTGGTGATGTTGATGATGCGGCCGTCTGGAACGCTCTTCCTTCTGATATTAGGAAGCCACCGGAGCTATGCACTTTTAGATAATCTAGATTGACAAACTAATTTATTTAGAGCAGCTTCTTGTGTTTAGTTTGTTGTCCTTCCCCGCGCCTCCAATTAGCACGGTCGGCTACGCACGGCGCAAAAGAAGTTCAAAATACCGACATAAATCGAAAAACGAATTTCTTTAGAACATATTCTTAGCAAATCGTTATTCTTCCCCCGCAGCCTCCAATCAGCACGGGTGGCTACGCACGGCGCGAAAAAAAAAGTTAAAAAAGAAATAGCTACAAAAATCGAAAAACTACATTTCTTCAGAACGGCTTCTTTTGTGTCCAAATCGTGATCGTGTCCCCCGCGCCTCCGATGCGCGAGCACGGCGCCAAAGTAAAGTGTCACCCTCCACCCCCCGCAGGTGAGCATGTACTGCGTGGGCAGGAAGCGCTACGTGCGTCTCTCCACGCCGACCCCCGCGACCCCCGCGGCTCGCGACGAGCTGCTGGCGGACAGCGCGATCCCCTGGGGCGTGGACTCCCTCGTGGTGCTCGAGTTCAACCCGGGAGGCGCCTACAGCCTCAAGGCGTGCGACGCGCGCCTCCTGCGCAGCGACGGAGTCCTCGTGAACGAGGCCGAGCCGGGCACCGCGTACGTCATCGAGTTCAAGGGGGGCAGGCTAGCCTTCCGTGATCATCAGGTGTGTGTGGTGTGTGTGGCGTGTGTGTGGTGTGTGTGTGCGTGTGATGTGTACCATCAGGCGTGTGTGTGTTGTGTGTGGTGTGTGTGTGGTGTGTGTGTTGTGTGTGTGTGGTGTGTGTGGTGTGTGTGGTGTGTGTGTGTGGTGTGGTGTGTGGTGTGTGCGTGGTGTGTGGTGTGTGTGTGGTGTGTGTGTGGTGTGTGTGTGTGGTGTGTGTGTGGTGTGTACCATCAGGGGTGCAGAGTGTGCACGTGTGTATGTGGTGTGTCCCATCGGTTGTGCAGTGTGTGGTGTTTGTTGTGTGTGTGGTGTGTACACACACACGCACACACAGTGCAGCACACCGCTCTCACAACCAACACCAGTGACGATTATCTGAACCGCCCAGAGTTCGCCACGAGGGAGACAAAGGCGGCCGTGTACCGCGCCGGCCTTCATAGGTGCCGCTCGCTTACAGCACTTGCCCTAATAGTCTTTCAGGCTATGCGGGGGATCTTTGTCTTTGAGTCGTCCAGGACTGGACAAGTTCCCATCAGTGAGCCCCCCCCGGCAGGTAAGGCTGCGTTGGCTGGGTCATGTAGCAGCCCACATGCTTACCCACCGCATGTCCAAACAGTTTCTGTTTGGCCAGATAGAGGGGGCTGAACGGGCACTAAACAGGCTGGAGAGGAGATGGAGCTGATGCGGTACGGGAAGGTGTGGAGCTGAGTGGACTTTCCAAAGACCGGTACCAGCGGTGTCAAGGTCGGCGTCTGTGGAGGAGGTTCGTGAAGGACGCTGCTGGGCAGTTGGAGGCAGTCGCCCTCCAGCAACAACGGAGGGCGGAGGAGCGACGCGCAGAATGCCCAGCGGTTAATATGCAGCGAGGTGGCACAGATGTTGCATCTGCCCGTCATCTTAGTCAGTCAACCAATGGCACCTGGGTCTCTCCCGAGACCTGTCGTTGAGTCTTCGACACTTCACGTGGCCTCACAGTGCACCTAGCCTGGCACAGGCGCCGTGGTTGACGTCACCGTCACTTCGTGGCGAATGGCGGGGGTGTTAGTATTGGTGTGCGTGGTGCTGGCCACCCACCCCCTCGTGTGCCGTGCCGACATTTATAGGTGCTACTCGCTAACAACACTTGCTCCTACAATATGTGAAAGTTATACGGGGGACCTTTGCCTTCGTGGGTAAATGCGTAAACCGTTGTAGAAGTTGAGAGTGTGCTTATTCATGCGTGTCACGGCAGCACAACTGCTCTTGAGTTAGGTGCCAATGTCTTCATCGTCTGCTGCTGCTGCTGCTGGCCACGACGAGAGGGCTTCAGCAGAGCGAGAGTTCGTGTCGTGTCGCTCTTCCTCCTCCTCCTCCTCCTCCGTTGAAGGAGCGCAGACCGCAGTGGGTTCACTGTGGGGTCCGTCGTGTTGGGTCGCATGACTGTGGCTCGTCTTCAGTGTATCTCTATGGGTCTCTATGTATCTCTATGGGTCTGTTTGTCTATTAAGGCTATACGAGGGATCTTTGTCTCTGTAGTTTGTGCACAACCCTTGGGGAGGGGGGGGGGGGGGGCGTCTTCCATCCCACGATCCCCTCCCTCCCCCAATCTTCCCCCATCCATTTTGATGTTCTGCCGATTCCCTTCCACCACTATCCTCCTCCAGCCCGTCCTCCCTTTGCGTCTTTCACTTCCTCCAGGGGCCTCATCGCCCTTCCACTCCTCCCACACCGCCCCCTGCCCCCGGGCCTCCTTCCCCGGCTCGCTATGCCAGGGTTCAAACTCCGTTCCTGGGAGTCTCCGCGTCAGCAGCAGCAGCAGCGGGCGAGCGAGCGAGCGAGCGAGGTTGTCTCAAGCATCTTCCTGACTTTCCAAACATTTAATTACATTTAATTGCTTATTTTACCATGTCCTTTCATGACGTCTATTGAAATGATAAATCTGGCGTGATGGGGGCAGACGCCGGGTTTTGCAGAGGAGTGAATTGGATAGCGCAGGGAAGGAGGGAGGGGGGAAGGATGGGGGAGGGGGCCGCTGGGGTAGGATTCCAATAATAATAAAGCATTATTATGAATAAATGTACCTCGTACATAGGTCGTAGTGGTAGTGCCTTACGCCGATAATCCACACTGAGGGCCGGCCTAGATATGAAATAACCGCATAACCACGGTAGCCTGGCTTTCTTTGCAACGCGGCTGTTTTTGCTTGGCTCCGAATTCTCTTCGACTTCGTTGTTGCCCACCCAAAAGACAAAGATCCTCCGTATAGCCTTCAACAGACTGCTGGGGCAAATGCTGCTAGCGAGCACCTATGAAGGCCGGCACGGCACACGAGGTGGTGGGTGGCCAACACCACGCCCGGCCGCCTTTTTCTCCCTAGTGGAGATGTTTACACATCGCACCAGGTACTCATTTAAGGCTGAGTCGACCTAGGGTAAGCCCAGGATCGGTTCAGATAATCGTCACTGGGTGTTGGCCTTAGAGCGGGAAACGAACCCGGGTTGCCGGGTTCATAGCGCAGTGCACTAACTGCTACACTACCGCACACATACTTACACACACACAGACACACACACACAGACACACACACACACTGACACACACATACTGACACACACACTGACACACACACACAGAGACACACACAGACACACACGCTAACCGTGACCTTGTGACCGGGTCAGGGCCACTACCTGGGGGCGATGGGCCCCGCGGGGGTGCTGCGAGCGGGGAGGAAGCCGAGCACGCGGCCCGGCAAGGACGACCTCTTCATGCTCGAGGACAGCCAGCCCCAGTTCGTGCTGCTCGCATGCAACGGGCGCATGCTCAGCGTGCGGCAGAGTGCGTGAGCCGCGAGTGTCGTCACAGTGGCAACGGCAGCGTCATCGGTGTCGTCGTCAGTGTCGTCATCAGCAGCAGGAGCTTTAACAGCGATAGCATTAGCAGCAGCAGCGGCGGCAGCGGCGGCGGCGGCGTCATTATCATCAGTAGCAGTATTAGCAGCATCAGCAGTTGTATTAGCAGCATTAGCATGAGTGGCATCAGCAGTAGCATTTGTAGCATTAGCAGCATATAAGCAGCATTCAAAGCATTAGAAGCATTAGCAGCAAAAGCAGCAGCAGTGGCGTCACCATGAGCAGCAGTAGCATTAGCAACAGCATTTGCAGCAGTAGCAGCAGCATTAGGCGCATTATCACCATAATCAGCAGCATCATCATCACCACCATCATCAGCATCATCGCCACCACCAATATACTCAACCCCACCATTATATACATGCAGAATGGTGGAACGTGAAAGATTTAAAATGTGTGTACACGTGCAACCACGTGTTCGCTATGTATGCCAATCGACACGAGACGTTACATTTCAAAGCAGTTTGCAGATTAAATATTTTATTACCAAATAAGAAAACAAACAAATCTCCAATAGCATCATCACCATCATCATACCAATATGAGCAGCGGTGGTGTAGTGATTAATGGATTGTGCTATGAACCCAGCGACCTGAGTTCGATTCCCGGCTATCACCCGAGACGAATACTTGAACCGGTCATGGGCCGTCCCTTAAATGAGTTCCCAGTGCGGTGTGTAAACATCGCCGCTGGGAGAGACAAAGGGGGGCATGCGTGGTGCTGCCGTGCGGGCTCTTCATAAGTGCTACTCACGAACAGCACTTGTCCCGACAGCTTGTCATTTGTCTTTGTGTGCGTTCCCGTGTGTGCCCGTGTGCGCGTGTTCCTGTGCTTGTGTGTTCCCGCGCGTCTTCTCGTGCGTCTTCTCGTGCGTGCGTGTTCCCGTGTGCGCGTGGTCCTGTGCTTGTGTGTTCCCGTGCGTCTTCTCGTGCGTCTTTTCGTGCGTGCGTGTTCCCCGTGTGCACGTGTTCCTGTGCTTGTGTGTTCCCGTGCGTCTTCTCGTGCGTCTTCTCGTGCGTGCGTGTTCCCGTGTGCGCGTGTTCCTGTGCTTGTGTGTCCCCGCGCGTGCGCGTGTTCTCGTGCGCGTATGCCCGTGCGTGCGCGCGCGTTGTCGTGCGCGCAGCGATGGACGTGTCCGCGAACCAAGACGAAGAGACGGACACGGAGACGTTCCAGATGGAGATCGACCGCGGGAGCTCACGAGTCGCGTTCCGCACGTGCGGCAGCCACTACTGGGCCCTGGTCAACAACGGCAGCATCCAGGCCTCCACCTCCGACAAGTGGGTGCCGGCCCCACCGGGCAAAGCGGGAGGGGTGGGGCAGGGAAAGGTCACTGGGTCACTAGGCCATTGGGTCACGTCTATTATTATGATGACTATTATTATGATGACCACACGCTGAAAAGCTTCGCTGATTCCATGAAGACTTTTACAAGAGGGTCACGCATTTGGGAATTTTTTTGGGGCCAATTATTCCGTCCACTTCTCTCCTCCCCGTCCTTGGTTCGTCACCTTTGATACACCTCCTCAAAGGCACTTTCCTCCTCCTCTTCCTCCTGCTCTCCCCATCGCCTCTCTCCCCCACCTCCACCAACGATCAGAGTTCAAACTCCGTCGGCGATCCTCTCTGAGTCGCGGGGATCTTTACGACTTTTAGGAACTTTGTTCGATTGCGTTGTCTCTGAGCGGTGTGTGTCGATGTCACCACATTTCCCGCCTTGAGTGGTAGGCGCTCTACATGAATAAAACATTTGATTAGTGATCGGCAAAAAATGTAAATCATTGCCATATTTCACCACGTTGGTCAGTGCGATTTATCGGTGAAAGTGGTGGGGCGAGGGGGGGGGCTGGCGGGGGACATAGCCAGGAATCGGTTCGGATCTCAGTCGCCACGAAAGTTCGCCTTGGCCGGGAATGCAACTCAGGTGGCCGAGCTAATTAATATAATCGCAGTGCTCTGGATTGTCAGCAAAGGACAAACGTTCCGCCAGAAGTGATCAATGATCACGGCCACTCATCTTCCTCGATGCATGCCACGGCGCGCGAAGAGAATCGCGTTTCATCGATTACTCTCTGCGGCGTCCGGTTTTGGGATGTTGGTGGGGGGAGTGGTAAGGCTTTCATCCAGCAGTGGACTGACCATGGTTGACGACGACGACGATGACGATCGCAACGCAGGTGATGATCACGAGTCGAGACGTCTTCCCGAATGTCCCGAACGTGGCAAGTTTAAGGGGTTCACTCGAGGCCGGTCGCAGGCGATTGTAAATCGGCGCGCGTGAATCAGGCGGAGTTCGGACTCTCAGATTAGATATGCACAGATTAAGGGGGCAAGGCCATCTGCCTGGGTGGTGGAGGAGGAGGGGGGGATGGAGGCGCTCACGCGAAACAGGGATACTGGGAAGATAAAAGCGGCTGGGCTTTGTTGCTGGCTAACACTTGCCCCAACAGTTTTTCTGGCTATTCGGTGCGGTGTGTGTGTGGCGTGTGTATGTGTGTGTGGCGTATGTGGTGTATGTGTGATGTGTGTATGTGTGTGGTGTGTGTATGTGTGTGTGTGTGGTGTGTGTATGTATGTGTGTGGCGTGTATGGTGTGTGTGGTGTCTGTCTGGTGTGTGTCTGTGTGGTGTGTGGCTTCTGTGTGTGTCCGTGCGCGTGTGGTGTTTGTGTGGTGTGTGTGGTGTGTATGTGTGTGTGTGGTGTGTGTATGTGTGGTGTTTGAGTGGTGCGTGTGGTCTGTGTGTGGTGTGTGTGTGTGGTGTGTGTGGTTTGTGTGGTGTGAATGTGGTGTGTGTGTCTGTCTTTGCGTGCAAAGCGCAGCGAGTTATCACAGGTAGGGCATCTGTCAATCATCTCAGGCAGTGAACCCTTGACACGTGCCGCGGTTCCGTGAGCCTTCCTGACAGCAGCAGCAAGTCTCTAAAACTTGACGATCTCAAAGTGCACCTATCCTGGCATTGCGGTGATGCCAACGCCACTTAGTGATGAATGGCGGCGGTTGTTGTGTGTGTGTGTTCGTGAACACTGTGTGTGTGTACTGTGTGTCTCTGTGTCATGTGTGTGCTGTTTATACGGACTGTGTGTATGTGAGTATTGTGTGTCATGTGTAGCGGTTAGCGCGCTGCGCTATGAACTTGGCGACCCGGGTTCGATTCCCGCTCACGGCCAACACCAGTGACGATTATCTGAACCGGTCCCGGGCCTCCCCTAGGTCGACTCAGCCTCAGATGAGTACCTGGTGCGGTGTGTAAACATTGCCACTAGGGAGACAAAGGCGGTCGGGCGTGGTGCTGGTCATCCACCCCCTCGTGTACCGTTCCGGCCTTCATAGGTGCTCGCTAACAGCACTTGCCCCTACAGTCTGTTAAGGCTATATGGGGGATCTTTATCTTTATTTTATGTTTATACGGACTGTCTGTGTGTGAGTACTGTGTACTGTTTATACGGAGTGTGTGTGTGTAAGGTCGGTGGCATGGGCCAGTGGAAACGCGTTCACCACGTGTTGCAGAGGATCGCGGTTCGAATCCGGCAGACCGCCCTGTTTACTACTGCGGTGGTGCATGAACGTCGACTTCTTCATACATGTGTACTGTGTGTACTGTGTGTACGAACGGTGTGTGTACTGTGCGTGTGTGGTGTGTGTGTACTGTGTGTGTGCCGCATGTATGTACTGTGCGTGTGCACTCCGTGTGCGTGTCACGTGGCAGAGGGGACAGCTGTTTCTTCGACATTGAGTGGCGCGGGAAGCAGATCGCGGTCAAAGCTCAGAACGGGAAGTACGTGACGACCAAGAAGAACGGTCGCCTCTCCGCCTCTAGCGACACCGTGGGTGCGTGTGTGTCAGTGTGTGAGTGTGAGTGTGTCAGTGTGCGTGTGTGTGTCAGTGTGCGTGTGTGTGTCAGTGTGCGTGCGTGTGTGAGTGTGCGTGTGTCAGTGTGCGTGTGTGTGTCAGTGTGAGTGCGAGTGTGTGTGTCAGTGTGCGTGTGTGTGTCAGTGTGCGTGTGTGTGTGTGAGTGTGCGTGTGTGTGTGTGTCAGTGTGCGTGTGTGTGTCAGTGTGCATGTGTGTGTGAGTGTGCGTGTGTGTGTGTCAGTGTGAGTGTGTGTGTGTCAGTGTGCGTGTGTGTGTGAGTGTGTGGGGGTGATGGCGTAGCGGTTAGCGCCTACGCTGCGCTAGGAGTCCGGCGACCCGGATTCGATTCCCGATCACAGCCACCAACACTACGGTGACGATTATCTGAACCGGGTCCTGGGCCTCCCCTAGGTCGACTCAGCCTCAAATGAGTACCTGGTGCGATGTGCAAACATCGTCACTAGGGAGACAAAGGCGGCCGGGCGCGGTGTTGACCACCCACCCCCTCGAGTGCTGTGCCAGCCTTTATTGGTGCTCGCTAACAGCACTTGCCCCTACAGTCTGTTAAGCCTATACGGGGGATCTTTGTCTTTTACTTTGGGGGCGCAGCTGGGTGTGCATCTTGCCGGTCGTCTCCGTCAGCCAACCCACGACACCTGGCCGGGGGAGGGGGGAGGGGGGGTCTGTCCCGTGACCTTCTGCGATCGACGCTTCTCAAAGTGCACGTGGGCTGGCACGAGCACCACGTCACCGCTGCTCCGTGGCGAGCGGCGGTTGTTGTTGTGGGAGACAAAGGCGGCCGGGCGTGGTGCTGGCCAACCATCCCCGTAGCGTGCCTTTTTTTTCGGGCCCAACAATCTGTAAAGGCTGTAGGGGAGATCTTTGTCTTTGTGTGCGTCGTTTATTCGGGAGCGACGCAGCGGGCCAAATGTCCCAGGCGTGGACTCACTCTGAGCGAGGCAGTGGGCCGTATGAGCCAGGCGTGGGCTCATTGAGAGAGGCAGTGGGCCGTATGAGCCAGGCGTGGGCTCACTCTGAACGAGGCAGTGGGCCGTATGAGCCAGACGTGGGCTCACTAAGCGAGGCAGTGGGCCGAATGAGCCAGACGTGGGCTCACTCTGAGCGAGGCAGTGGGCCGAATGAGCCAGACCTGGGCTCACTCTGAGCGAGGCAGTGGGCCGAATGAGCCAGGCGTGGGCTCACTGAGCGAGGCAGTGGGCCGAATGAGCCAGACGTGGGCTCACTCTGAGCGAGGCAGTGGGCCGAATGAGCCAGACCTGGGCTCACTCTGAGCGAGGCAGTGGGCCGAATGAGCCAGGCGTGGGCTCACTCTGAGCGACGCGGCTCGGGTCGACCTCCTGCCCCCCCTCCCCCCTCGGTGTGGCCGTGCAGGCGAGGCCGAGCTGTTCATGCTGCGCCTGGTGAACCGCCCCATCCTCGTGCTGCGCGGCGAGCACGGCTTCATGAACGCGCACCGCGGCGACGCGCCCACTCTGCACGCCAACCGCTCCTCCTACCAGACCTTCCGCCTGCACTACCGCAACGGCGCCTACGCAATCCAGGGTGGGAGCAGCAGCAGCGGCGGCGGCGGCAGCAGCTATCACCACTGTCATCATCATCAGCAGCACCACTATCATCATCACCGCTATCATCACCACTATCATCACCACCACCCCCACCACCACCACCAATATCATCACCACCACTATCATCATCACCACCACCACCACCACTATCATCATCACCACCACCAATATCATCATCAGCAGCGCTAACATCGCCACCAACACCAATGTCATCATCGCCACTATTATCATCAGCATCATCATCGTTGCCACTAGTATGATCTTCGTCGCTATCATCATCATAATCACAACCACTATCATCACCACCACTATCATCATCACTACCACTATCATCATCACCACCACTATCATTACCACTATCATAATCATCACCACTATCATCATCATTATCACAACCACTATCATTATCACAACCACTATCATCATCACCACCACTATCATCATTATCACAACCACTATCATTATCACAACCACTATCATCATCGCCACCACTTTCATTACCACTATCATAATCATCACCACCACCACCACCGCTGTCATAACCATACCAACTACCACCATCGCCACGACCAGCGTGATCTTTAGGATTAATGTGCTATTGAGAAGGGCCATTGCCCGAAAGATAAAACAAAATAGGAATAGGTTTTACCCTTTTAACTGGCACAAAAACTGACACCTTTATTCAAGGCATCATGTTGCAATAACCACAACACAAACAGTCAAATTGCAAACAAAAAAGACAACTCTGATAATAATATGCACTGTCCTTGAATTTGATTGGTCCACACCCGAGACGGCTTTACTTAGAGCCTAGTCTCCATTGGTGTTGGACCAGAAGACGCCAAAAGGCATACAACTCAAAAACAGCACACTATCAGAGTATTGAGGGCTCGGGGTGAGCATTTACATTATGAGACCTCCTTTGCCAGTAACAAGATATAGGAATAGGTTTAACCCATTTAACTGGCACAAAAACTGACACCTTTATTCAAGGCATCATGTTTGCAATAACCACAACACAAACAGTCAAAATGCAAACAAAAAGGACAACTCTGATAATATGCACTGTCCTTGAATTTGATTGGTCCACACCCGAGACGGCTTTTACTTAGAGCCTAGTCTCCATTGGTATTGGACCAGAAGACTCCAAAAGGCGTACACCTCAAAAACAGCGCACTATCAGAGTATTGAGGGCTCGGGCTGAGCATTTACATTATGAGACCTCCTTTGCCAGTAGCAAGATATAGGAATAGGTTTTACCCTTTTAACTGGCACAAAAACTGACACCTTTATTCAAGGCATCATGTTTGCAATAACCACAACACAAGCAGTCAAAATGCAAACAAAAAGGACAACTCTGTACGCCTTTTGGCGTCTTCTGGTCCAACACCAATGGAGACTAGGCTCTAAGAAAAGCCGTCTCGGGTGTGGACCAATCAAATTAAAAGACAGTGCATATAATTATCAGAGTTGTCTTTTTTTGTTTGCATTTTGACTGCTTGTGTTGTGGTCATTGCAAACATGATGCCTTGAATAAAGGTGTCAGTTGTTGTGCCAGTTAAAAGGGTAAAACCTCTTCCTATATCTTGTTACTGGCAAAGGAGGTCTCATAATAAAACAAAATGTGAACACTTCGGAGAATTTGCAACGATGCCACAAGCAATATGCTGCTGCCACCGGGCTCTGGAGATCACCTGGTGAAGATTCCAGGTCACGTGTTGACAACGATGGCGAACAAGCGGAGACTCTTTGACTTTCTCAAGCTATTAACGTTCATTCGTTATCATTTTGACTTCAAACTTTCGTGATTGCAGGAAATTCATATTCGTTGGTTCTTTCGGTAAAGTCACGTAGATAGAAAAAAATAAAATATAAAAAAGACTACGACGTTTCGATCACAACACCTGCGATCGTCATCAGGAGGAAGAAAAAAAAGACGTCGTAGTTTTAATTTTGTAGTTTCATTTTTTTTCTATCTACGTGGCTTTACCGTACGAACCGAAGAATACGAAATCGTTATCATGTCACAGTGTATTATCCCTTCCTTGTTGCCATTAAAAACGACAGTCCCATTTCAGCGTTCACCATTTGTTTAAAGCCCCCTGCAGCTAAACCCACCACCTCATCCCCCTGCCCCCTCCCCCTTCCCTTGTCACCCCCCCAGGTCAGAACCAGCGCTACTGGGCGCTGAGCGGGCTGGACGTGGCGCTGTGCGGGGATGAGCCCACGGACTTCTATTTGGAGTTCGTCGGCTACAGCCGCGTGGCGCTCAGAGCCCCCAACGGACGCCTCGTGCGAGGCGACCAGGCCGGAGGGGTGCGGGCTGACGCCGACTCTGTGGATTCCGAATCTCTGTGGGAGTATTGACCCCTCCCCCCCCTCGCCTCCCCACCCCCACGTGCCCCCCCACCCCCACCTGCCCCCCCACCCCCACCTGCCCCCCACTCCCACATGCCCCCCGATCCCACCCCTACCCCCATCCCCCCTGCTCCCCTCCCCCCCCCCTGCCCCCCCCTACCCCACCCCTACGCCCACCCCCACCTCTTGCATCACGGATCCCAAACTAGTTCGTGCCCGGTAAAACGTGCAACGTTCGGGCGACGCTTCCCCAACGTCGCCCCAACGTTGGCCCAACGTTGGGGCGACGTTGGCATGCGGCTGAATCCGTTGAGGCAACGTTGGCCTCACGTTACATGTTACATGTTTAGCTGGGCGGGCGTTTTCGGTCTCGAACCGTTGCAGGGGATCACTGCTCCCGTCCGGTTCGCGTGAGCATTGTCCCGTGTCGCCTGTAACAGGTTGTTGGGGCAAGTGCTGTCAGCGAGCACACACAGACAAAGATCCCCCGTGTAGCCTGTAACATACTGTGGGGGCAAGTGCCGTTAGCGATCATACACAGACAAAGATCACCCGTGTAGCCTGTAACAGGCTGTGGGGGCAAGTGCTGTCAGCAAGCACACACAGACAAAGATGCCCCGTGTAGCCTGTAACATACTGTGGGGGCAAGTGCTGTTAGCGATCATACACAGACAAAGATCCCCCGTGTATCCTTTAACAGGCTGTTGGGGCAAGTGCTGTCAGCGAGCACACACAGACAAAGATCGCCCGTGTAGCCTGTAACAGACTGTGGAGGCAAGTGCTGTTAGTGAGCACACACAGACAAAGATCCCCCGTGTAGCCTTTAACAGGCTGTTGGGGCAAGTGCTGTCAGCGAGCACACACAGACAAAGATCCCCCCGTGTAGCCTTTAACAGGCTGTTGGGGCAAGTGCTGTCAGCGAGCACACACAGACAAAGATCGCCCGTGTAGCCTGTAACAGACTGTGGGGGCAAGTGCTGTTAGCGAGCACACACAGACAAAGATCCCCCGTGTAGCCTGTAGCAGACTGTGGGGGCAAGTGCTGTTAGCGAGCACACACAGACAAAGATCGCCCGTGTAGCCTGTAACAGACTGTGGGGGCAAGTGCTGTTAGCGAGCACCTATAAAGGCCGGCACGGCACACGAGGGGGTGGGTGGCCAACTCCACGCCCGGCCGTCTTTGTCTCTCGAGTGGCGATGTTTACACACCGCACCAGGTACTCATTTGAGCCTGAGTCGACCTAGGGAAGGCCCAGGACCCGGTTGAGATAATCGTCACTGGGTGTTGGTCGTGAGCGGGAATCAAACTCGGGCCACCAGGTTCTTAGCGCAGCGCGCTGACCGCTACACCACCGCTCCCCCATTGTCCCACACACATGCACGCACACACACGAACACACACACACGCACGCACACACACGCACGGCCCTTTGGCCAATCCACTGCTGGATGAGGGCCTCCGCACGCCTTGCGGACCGTGATGGTCATTTGGCCATACTTCACCACTCCGGTCAGTGCGAGGTTGGTTCAGGTGGGAGGAATGCGGCACAGCAATGGATTTTGTTGCACTGCCCTCTACTGCCCACGACTTCCCCTGCACGTGGCCAATGTTCGCACGGGCGTGGTCAGCCCCTCCAAGCGCTATCCAGGGTCAACTCCGCTTAGCTTACGAGGTCGGACGAGATCGGGCGACACACACGCAGCGTGCAGACAAAGATCCCCCGTGTAGCCTTTAACAGGCTGTTGGGGCAAGTGCTGTCAGCGAGCACACACAGACAAAGATCCCCCGTGTAGCCTTTAACAGGATGTTGGGGCAAGTGCTGTCAGCGAGCACACACACAGACAAAGATCCCCCGTGTAGCCTTTAACAGGCTGTTGGGGCAAGTGCAGTCAGCGAGCACACACAGACAAAGATCCCCCGTGTAGCCTTTAACAGGCTGTTGGGGCAAGTGCTGTCAGCTGGCACCGCACGAGAGGTTGATGCTGTCAGACTCGCACCCCGGTGGCGACATTCACGCATCGCACAATTTGAGGCTGAGTCGACCTAGGTGGGGGGGGGGCGAGATGGAAGTTGGGCGGCCTGGTTCGCAGCGGCCGGCGCAGTGCCACGCTGCGCCAACCGCTGCGCCACCGCTCCCTACCCCCCCCCCCCCCCCCCCCCAACGTCCGAGCAGACACTCGGCGCGGTACGGGAACTGCCGAGTCAGCGAATTCAGTTCCACGAGGGGACATTGATGCGGGGTGGGGGGGGTGTCCATCGACATCGTTGGAAGTTCCGGAGTTCCTCGAAAGGCAAAGGTCGCGGTCCGTGGACGACTCTCGTGGGGGTGGGGGCCTCTAGACCTGCCTGCGAATGTTTACTTGTAGCGTTCGCGAAACGCCATTCGGGCATCTCTCGTCAAACTGCTCAAGGGTTCGACGGCGAAACGTCTTCCCGAGGTCCACCGACGGCTGACGGTACGGCGTTCCAAAGCTTATTCAAGAAGCGCAGTCGCAATGGAACGTGCGTGCCAGCGCCGGAGTGATGAAATATATATATACAGTGTACTACATGTGAACGATGTTGATGAGATACATTCAAATTAGAATCATGCTCAACCAATTGTGCGTGAATGCAACCGCTCGATGTGAGCTACCCCCCGCGTCTTGTCGAATCGCGCGATTCGTTTTTGCCATACTTCACCGCGCCGGGTTCAGTGCGTGCGACTCGTCTTGGATCGAGCTCAGGGTTCATCATCGGGGACGACCGCGTCACCTGCGACGTCGACTTTAAATGGAGTTATTGTCGTAAATGATGTCTCGTCAGCAAAACAAAAGTCCGATTATCTTCCGAGCTCGGAATGATGCTAAGCGGGATTTAAGCCTGGGGAAGCTCGATGGATGGGTGACCCCCACGCACACGAGGTGCTAGAGGCTGCACGTTGTGGGCAATTCGGAATTATGTATTGTTGTACTGTACTATTCACCAACGGCTATGCTCCCGCACTGACGAGCGTTCGCGAATCCGCATTGACCAGAGGGGGGAAGTATGGTTAATAATTCACCTCCCGCCCCCACCCTAATCCAGCCCCCCTCATCCAGCAGTAGATTGACCAAAGCGCTACACATGTGTGTACATGGTTCCAGCTTCCGCGGATTTCTTTTGACCCCGACTACGCAGGATGATGTTTGATAATAATCGATGATTTGGAATGATCGAATAGCGAATCGAATCGTGTGTTGTAAGAACCAAGTTTTTGTTTTCGATTCGTCATGCGTTGCATGTCACGTGTGTACACGTTACCCCCAGCGACCGCTAGAGGTCGCCACATTCCACGCAGTGTCACAATAATCGATTAATCGACTCGCAAAAAATGATCGAATCGTCGAGGAGACTGCTGAAACGTGACACCACTCACGATTTTGTCACGCACGGAGGTCAAAGATGTCACGGAATGTGTTAATGAAGGTGAAGAGGAGAATGTGGCAATTATTTTTATTAAGAACGCGACAGATTAGTCAATAACATCGTGGCCTTAATAGGGAAAAATACATATAATAGGCGACGTTTCGGGCAATGGTCCTTTTACATATCATATAGATGATTTTATTATTACGTTTGTATAATCAATAAAGCCTCAGTGGAATTTCAAGACTCGTCTTCATGAGGGTCCTGATAGTTTTTTTCTTTCACAGAAGGGAAGCGACGATTGCAATGCGTTTCCCAATGAAGCAATTTTTGTAATCAAATAAGTAAATAAAATGTAAGTCATTTTTCAAATGCTAGCCAAAAATTGGGACCTCGACGCCAGCACGCGGATGCCCTTCTCTCCTCCCAATGTAAAGCGGTTGGCGCGCAGAGTATTCCATGGTTAATTACACGCGCAGCAGTATTAACCAGGGCGGCCTTGCGGATATTAACTTACTCGACTAAACTTTGTATTTTGCCAGGTAAGGCTCACTGAGCTATGTAGCTATTTTTCACAAGCGACCTGGCCACAATTGATAAGTGGCTTATCATGTGGACATATACAGCAGCCATACACTCTTAAGGGCACACGTTTCTAAACGTGGAGGAGAAAAACTGGAGAGTCCCCGAGGAAAAAAATCCACGCGACCACGGGCGAGAGAGACACGCAAACTCCAAATATAAAGTCAGACTTCAGGGTCGGAAGCGAACCCACGACCTCGTGCGTACCGGGCGAGGGAGTTAACATTTCGCCAGCGTGACCCGCGACGGGAGCGTACGACATTCATGCGCTTCCTGAACAACTTCCTTACAAAAATCCGCACGAGCGCTGAAAGTATAAATCTGTACTCTCGGTTCACAGTGGAGGCCAGAAGGGATCTGGGGTGGGTGTGGGGGTGGGTGTGGGGGCGAGGTGGGTAGGGCCTTCTCCCCGAACCGGGAGACCCACATTCCCAATATTTTCAGAGTCGATTCTATCGCCAGAATGGTTCCCATAAAAATCTATTTAAAAAAATGTGTATTGTAACATCAAATTTCATTTCACTGGTCACTTGGTTTATTTTATTTACAAAAGAATAACCCCGGTAATTTTAAACAGGGGTTTATTTTATGATAAAGGTTTTTCGGGAATGAGTCGTAACCCTCCACCACCCGAAACAGCCAGTAAGGATTGTCACGTAAACAAGACGCGCCAATTAGTTTACTACTTCAGCCCACCGGTGTGTTGGAGAGTAAATCGCCCGGTGTTGCTGGATGTAATTACCAGCGAAAACGTCGTACTACTGAAATTGTAAACGTTGTGGATTTACTCTCCAACACGCCGGTGGGCTGAAGCAGTATACTACACTATATACTACACTATATACTGCACTATACACTACATTATACACTACACTATACACTACATTATACACTACAGTATCCTAGTAATTTGCGCGTTTTGTTTACGTGACAAACCTTCCTGGCTGTAGCGGGTGGTGGAGGGTTACGACACAACATTTATGTCTAAGCGATCTCACCGAAAAACATTGATTATCAATAATATTGGTCGTGAAAGCCTCCTACGTATTCA